AAAAAAAAAAAAAAAAAAAAAAAAGAGGGGGAGGCCTGGAAACACATTTTCTCGTAACTGACTTTCACTTAACAACAGTATTGATATGGATTTGTCAGAAAATACAGAACACATCCTTTTTTTATAGCTGCTGTGCACACAAAGCCATGCATCCAGCAAGCACTCGGTGGGTACTGCTGAGCTGTACAGAATTACACATCTGCTCAGATACCATCAGCCAAAGAACACCTCTACGTGGATCAAATGTTTCTTTGAAATCTAATTATGAGGATTCCATAAGGGCTAACATTAATGACCTGGAAGTTTAATTAATGGATTTTTGCCATTTCTAACAGTGGCTTATTCTAAAATTTAAAAACGGAGAAGCTTTATCAGGGGGTCATTAAGGCTGCAAAAGTGAAAGGGCCTGTGTGATTGAAGGCTATATGTGATTCTCACCAGCTTGAACTGGAAGACCACAGAGGACCTCAGAGAAAGAAGAGGAGCCGGAGGGAAATTTTGGGGCAGCATTAATTGAGTACTAACAGAGCAAGAGACAAAAACATCTGGCTATTTTAGGTTAGTATCTCACCGTTCTGCTTTTCTTCCATAATTTTTCCTCATTCAGCCTGAGTTCACCTTTGTAGAATGCATCTTCCACTTTGCTACAAAAAAAAAAAAGCAACAATGTACACATTTTGGGTGATGGGTACTTTAAAGGGCAGACTTCATCACTACACAATATATCCATGTAACAAAACTGCACTTGTATCCTCAAATCTTTCTTTTTAAAGGGAAAGTGCTTTAAAATATAGACATATACTCAAAACAGCTGCAGCTGACCCTTGGCTAACAGGGGTCCAAACCGTGCAGATCCACTTACATGCAGATTTCCTTCAGCCTCTGCCACCCCTGAGACAGCAAGTCCAATTCCTCTTCCTCCTCCTCCTCTTCAGCCTACTCAAGGTGAAGATGACCAGGATGACCTTCATGATGATCCACTTCCACTTAATGAATAGTAAATAGGGCCAGGTGTGGGTGGCTCACACCTGTAATCCCAGCACTTTCAGAGGCCGAGACGGGTGGATCATGAGGTCAGGAGTTCAAGACCAGCCTGGCCAACATAATGAAACCCTTTCTCTACTAAAAAATACAACAAAACAAAACAAAACTAGCTGGGCATGGTGGTGCATGCATGTAGTCCCAGCTACTCAGGAGGCTGAGGCAGGAGAATCGCTTGAACTGGGAGGTGGAGGTTGCAGTGAGCTGAGATCACGCTGCTACACTCCAGCTTAAAAAAAAAAATAGTAAATAGGCCAGGCAATGTGGCTCACACCTGTAATCCCAGCATTTTGGGAGGCCAAGCCGGGTGAAGAGGTCAAGAATTTGAGAGGTCAAGAGATTGAGACCATCCTGGCCAACATGGTGAAACCCCGTCTCTACTAAAAATACAAAAACTAGCTGGGCATAGTAGTGTGTGCCTGTAGTCCCAGCTACTTGGGAAGCTGAGGCAGAATCACTTGAATCCAGGAGGCAGAGGCTGCAGCGAGCCAAGATTGGGCCACTGTACTCCAGCCTGGCAACAGAGACTCTGTCTCTAAATATATTTTCACCTCTTTATGATTTTCTTAATAATATTTTCTTTTCTCTAGCTTCCTATATTGTAACTGCATATCAGTAAGGCCTTCACTCAACAGGGTCAACAGTAGACTATATTAGTCAAGTTTTCCAAATGTCAAAATATTAGTAGTTAAGTTTTTGGAGTGTCAAAAGTTATACGTAGCTTTTCAACCCCATGGAGATTGGCACCTCTAACCCCTACATTGTTCATGCATCAACTGTATACAAGTTTGAGAGAAACACTTGCCATTAATGTTTATTCAGACAGTGACTCCTCACAATCTCCATTTGGAGTACTGGGAAAGTGAAAGTCGCCTGTTCTGGTGTGTATCTAATACAGGGAGATGAAAGGGCATTTCTAAACAGATGGTGAACTGCTGCAAAGATTTGCTAATGCTCTTGGGAAGTTAACTGGATGGAGCCTTAAGAGAGGTTTTACCACACATGTCAAGCTCCATTCTGTACAGGGGCCTGGGGTACTCCACCTGACTCCCAGTGCAGAAACCACATGACCAGGCTGTAGCTCTGATGATTTATGACAGCTAAAGTGAGTGGGCACTTCCTTCCCCTCAGGTACCTGCTCTGTACACTAAGAGAAAAACCAGGCACCACGTGTATAGCAAGGCCATTAAGAAACCCTCTGCCAGTCTGTACTGTCTGGGGAAATTCCAGTCTGACAGCTGCTGATCTCTCTGAACTTAAGTCACTGGGGCAACCAGACCAGGGGAGGAAGCAGCTAAAAATCACTACCCTTTTTTTGATGATCTGATTCCAGGTGACTGATATGTGGAGCTCATCTTAATAATAACAGCAGCAGCTACTACTCTGGGAGAGAAGAGGCACCCTAATGAGTCTGGCCAGAATTTAGAGAACATTCTCTAATGGCACCCTGATCAGAATGCCAAGAGCAGGGTCTGTGGACTGACTCATTTTTATGAATCTCTTAAGCTTCAAGGATTAAAAAATTAAACTATTGCCATTAAATTAGGTCATAAAGATACAAATAATACAAGAAGATTTTTTTGAGTTTACTAATATCACTATTCTTGCCTTGTATACAATATGCCTGCAATCATTCCTAAAAGCATAAATGAACAGGCCAGGTGCAGTGGCTCACACTTGTAATCCCAGCACTTTGGGAAGCCGAGGTGGGCGGATCACGAGGTCAGGAGTTCAAGACCAGCCTGGCCAACATGGTGAAACCCGTTGCTACTTAAAAAACAAAAACAAAAACAAAAATTACCTGGGCATGGTGGCATGCGCCTGTAATCCCAGCTACTCGGGAGGCTGAGGCAGAACTGCTTGAACCAGGACCCAGGAAGCAGAGGTTGCAGTGAGCTGAGATCATGCCACTGCACTCCAGCCTGGGCTACAGAGTAAGACTCTGTCCAAAAAAAAAAAAAGAATAAATGAATAATGAAGGCCACTATTCTTCCACTATTCTTATATAATTAACCTAGTAGAGAGGGAATCAGAATATTAAAGAAATCTTAAAAGTTATATTCAACACCTCTATTATATGTGAACATATATAGTATTTTCTTTAAAACAGCCAACACATATTGAGTACCTACTATGTGCCAGATATGATTATAAGTGCTTGAGATAGATATATACTCACTGAGTCCTAGCAACCACTCTCTAAAGTAGGTTCTATCCTCATTTTACAGATGAGGAAACTGAGTCACTTGCCCGAGGTCACACAGAACCAGGACTAAAACTCCAATAATCTGGCTCCAAAGCCTGCATTCTTAACCATCATCTTATTACACATCATCCTGTTAATTCTAAGAGGTACCTTCTCACATTATAGCATTTGTGAAATATCCAGATGCATTTTATGCTTGCTACATACATCTAATATGGTGATTCATTTTCTCCTCAAGAAGCTGTTATTAAATCAGTAGTTCATCTTACAGTCAACTGTGTCTTACATTCAAGGAAATATGGCACATGGGATTTGCAGGCAGTCACGTGTGACTTCTTTGGAAATCAGTTTTCTCATCTATAAAATGAAATAATTGAAACAGGTTACCTATAAAGGTCCTTTTGTTGTGGTTATTCTTCACCATGATATGGACCAAGTGATTTGTAATGCTGCATTAAAATAACAAGACGAGTGAGTTTATAATAAAATGTGTATCATACTCACTTTCTCCCAATATCTAGACCTGTCTTCAGGACAACATCATACCGGAAAGACTGCACTGTTTTTTCCAAGTCTTTATAGTCTTTGACTACAGTAGGGTCATCCTCAAACTCCTCTTCCTGCTCACTCATCTCGTCATGATCACTTTCTGCATCAGAGTCTTCTTCATCATCTACTTTTTGCAGAGACTTTTTAGATTTTTTAGAGCTTATATTACTTTTCAGTCTTATGGAAAATGGAAAAATATATTCTGGAGATATTAAAAGCCCTGGGAGTCTCAGTGAGAAAAGATTACGGAAAAGTGTTTTATAATTTGGTGCACGTAACTTGGTACTAGAAAAATACAAGTATCGATTCCAGGAAGTGCAGAGTTTGTGTGAAGAAGGTGTCCCTCGGAGAACACTCCAGAGTCCAATCCAGGCATCTGGCTTTCTTAAAACACCAGCAAGCAATTTGACACTCGTCATAGCCATGGCACTTATAACCTGAAACAAATAATAAATCAGTTTTATCTCACAAGTGCAGTGTCATGACATTCTTACAACATAAACCACATGCACTACGAACATTTTATGTCTAGTCCTATACTTATGCACCCCTACAAAAAGTCCTATCAACCTGCATGTGCCGAGGGCCATATACCACAGCATAGTGACTCTTCTAGCTGCAAGTAACGTGCTTAGTGCATAGGATTGTCAGGAAGGTCTAATGTGATACTAGTATGTGTGAAAGCACTGGTTCTACTCTTCCCCCTCCCCCAAATTAGCTCTGGGTACTGACTGCTCCAAAAAAAAAAAAACACACACACACACACACACACACACACACACACACACACACAGTAGTTCAATGATTTGTTTATATGTTTGTTTTGGGATGGAGTTTTGTTCTTGTTGCCCAGGCTAGAGTGCAATGGCTTCATCTCAGCTCACCACAACCTCTGCCTCCTGGATTCAAGCAATTCTCTTGCCTCAGACTCCTGAGTAGCTGGGATTGTAGGCATGCACCACCACGCCTGGCTAATTTTGTATTTTTAGTAGAGATGGGGTTTTTTCATGTTGGTCAGGCTGGTCTCAAGCTCCCGACCTCAGGTGATCCATCCGCCTTGGCCTCCCAAAGTGCTGGGATTATAGGCCTGAGCCACCATGCCCGGCCGAGGCAGAGATATTCTTATTGCATTCTGTAGTCTATTTTCTGTGGCACTGAAAGGTTTCCTGGTTTTGTGGGGGCGGGGGAGGGGTTTGCTTGTTTGTTTTCTGAGACAGAGTTTCCCTCCTGTTGCCCAGGCTGGAGTGCAATGGCACGATCTCAGCTCACTGTAACCTCCGCCTTCCTGGTTCAAGGGATTCTCTTGCCTCAGCCCCGAGTAGCTGAAATTACAGACATGTGCCACCATGTCTAATTTTTTTTGTATTTTTAGTAGAGACGGGGTTTCACCATGTTGGCCAGGCTGGTCTCAAACTCCTGACCTCATGATCCGCCTGCCTCAGCCTCCCAAAGTGCTGGGATTACAGGTGTGAGCCACCACACCCAGCCTTCTTTTTTTGAGACAGAGTCTCACTCTGTCACCCATGCTGGAGTGCAATGGTGCAAACTCAGCTCACTGCAACCTCCATCTCCCAGGTTCAAGCAATTCTCCTGCCTCAGCCTCCTAAGTAGCTGGGACTACATACACATGCCACCAAGCCTGGCTAATGGTGAAACTCCATCTCAAAAAAAAAGAAAAGAAAAAGTAAATTAACCAGCCATAGTCCACTCTATGTTAACCACTGTAAGATTTTGGCATAGATCCTTCACAATGTAAAATTTGAAGAAAAATAATTAACTCATGAGCACAGCCTCTCATATTTTCCCAACCACCCAAAACATACAGAAAGGTTAGTCATAGGTGGCCAGAGCTCTCTAACATCACCCTCAGGAAGTCTGTGTTGGTCCTACGTTCCAGAGTCATTATTAAAAGTTTTACTTTTTTTTGTTGGGTGTGGTGGCTCACGCCTATAATTCCAACACTTTGGGAGGCTGAGACAGGCAGATCACCTGAGGTCAGGAGTTCAAGACCAGCCTGGCCAAAGTGGTGAAACCCCATCTCAGCTAAAAATACAAAAATTAGCTGGGTATGGTGGTGGGCACCTGTAATCCTGGCTACTCGGGAAGCTAAGGCAGGAGATC